ATTTAGATTTCTTTCTGTGACCCCCTTTACTGTATCTACCTCCTCCCTCCTTCCCTCGCCTCTGGTAACCACTAGTCTATTGTCCATGTCCATGAGTTTTCTGTTCATTTGTTGCTTTTAGGTTTGTATCCCACATATGAGTGATATCATGTGATTTTCAACTTTTTCTGTCTCCCTTATTTTGCTTAGCATGATTATCTCGAGGTCCATCCATGTTGTCGCAAATGGCAGTATTTCATCTCTTCTTATGACTGAGTAATATTTCATTGTATATATGGACCACAGCTTCTTTAGCCAATCATCTATCGTAGGATACATTGGTTGCTTCCATGTCCTGGCTTCCGTGAGTACTGCTGCTATGAACATTGGAGTGCAAGTATCTTTTCAGATATGAGTTTTCAAGTCTTTGGGGTAAATACCCAGTAGAGGGATTGTTGGATCATATGGTAGATCAATTCTTAGTTTTTTGAGGAACCTCCATACTGTTTCTATAGTGGCTGTACCAATTTGCAGTCCCACCAGCAGTGTATGAGGGTTCCTTTTGCTCCACATCCTCTCCAACATTTGTTATTACTTGCTTTAGATTCATTTTTGAATAACAAGAACCTATCATACACAGAATGTCTATCATACACAGGTATTTGTGGGGAAAGGGGAGGAGTTTGGGGCAGAAAATCAGATAACTTTCAGCCTTTCTGTATCTCTAATTCTCTGTCTGCCCACTATAGAATTAGTTCTAACATTTCATGAAATTCGGTCAATTAAAACGGACAAGACTGTGTCTAGATGTGTTTGAATTTATGATAGATTACATCCCTCGATCAACCAGGGCAAGAGGATTCCATCTGAATGAAAGCAGTTTCCCAGTAAAACTACTTTGGTGCTGTTCTCTTTTTACTACTAAAGTTACTTGCTTATACAAGAAGACAGTTTTAAGGCCATTCACTCAACATATATTTAATGAATACCAAACATGCCTGGATTGTTACAGGCACAGGATATAGCAGAAAACAAAACATGAAAATTTCTGTCCTTGTGTAATAAACATTCTAGAAGAGGAAACAAATAAGAAAACAAGTACAATGTGTCAGGTGGTTATACGTGTTATGGAGAAAAATTAAGCAAGATAAGAGCAGGGAGGATTTTGCTATGTATCTAGTCAAGATCATTAATAAGGTGATATTTGAGTGAAGACCATGAAGGAACTGAGGAAAGAAACTGAGTGGATATCTATGGAAAGAGATTTGTAGGCAGAAAAATCAGCAAATGCAAAGGCCCTGGGGCAGAAATGTGCCTGGCAGGTTTGAGGAAAGGCTAGGGACAAAGCATGACTGTTAAAGAGGAGTTCAAAAAGTAGCCAACACCAGATTATGTAGAGCCTTACAAGTCTTAGAATTCTTACAGAGCCATTGTAATGCTTTTGGTTTTTACTCTGAGAGGGATAGGATGTTACAGAAGAGTTCGAACAGGAAAGTGAGATGATTTGACTTACATTTTTAAAAAATCACTCCGGATGTGGAGATAAGACTGTAGGAGAAAAGAGTTATTAAAACCTGAATGTCATTGTTAAGATATACCTAGGTTATACAGAAAGGAAGAGTAATAATTGCTCTGATTAGTTGACCAGTCATTTTTTTTTGGTGGCAGGGGGGAACCTCTCCATTAGCACTTAAGCTTTTTATCAAAGTCTGTCTCTAGAAGGATTCTGGGAAGTATGACAGAAGCATGCTTTGACAATCTTTAAGGAAGGCAGAAAAAGTTTGAGGGAAACAAGATATAAAGTCAATGAATTCCAAAGAGATGGGGAAGCATGCTTAGAGAAAGTTGTGCTCTAATAATTTTTTTAAATCAAAATAACTATATTTTTGAGCAACTAAATGTTAAGTGCTATAATAATAATAATAAAAAAAATAGTGGTATAGTCTGAATGTTTGCATCCTCCCAAAATTCATATATTGATATCCTAATGCCCAGTATAATACTATAAGGAGGTCAGGCCTTTGGGGTAGGGTGATTAGGTCATGTGGGCTGAGCCCTGGTTAATGAGATTAATGTCCTTATAAAAGAAGCCTGAGACAGCTCCTTTGGCCCTTTTCCAAGTGAGAATACAGGGGGAAGTCTATAGTCCGCAACCTGAGAGAGGGCCTTCACTGAAACCCAACCATGCTGGCACCATGATCTTGGACTTCCAGCTTCCAGAACTGTGAATTTCTATTATTTATAAGCCACTCAATCTGTTATTGTTATAGCAGCCCAAACGGATTAAGACAGCTAAGATTAACTGAGCATTTACTAAGATTAACTGAGCATTTGTGTTCTAGGCACTATGCAAAGTGTACCACATATTGATCATTAATCCTTACATCCTACAAGATATGTATTATTATTTTCAATTTACAGATGAGAAAACAGAGGCTTAGAAAAGTAAAATAATTTGTCCATATTACACAGCTAGTCCATACTGGGATTTTAACCCAAGCCTGTCTGACTCCAGACAGAACCTATAGCCTCGACTACCGTAATGTACTATAAACCTAGGTTTTATCTCTGACTGAGTGTGTGGAGCAGGGGAACTGAACATAAATATTGGAAAATATTGGAATGATAGAAATAATCTCATGTTTATAAATTAAAATAATATCACAAAGAGGACAATATTCCCTAAATTGATCTACAAATTAGTTCATCCTGGTCAAAATCCCAGTTACCTTTTTTTGCACAAGTAACAAAAGAAAAAATTGGACTTTAGCAAAATTAAAAAAGTTTTGTGCTACCAACAATAGCATCAAGAACTTGAAAAGACAATCCACAGAATGGGAAAAATTATTACCAGTCATGTATTTGATAAGAGATTTGTATTTAGAAATAGAAAGAACACTTATGAGTCAGTAATAAAAAGATAAATAATTTTAAAATGAGCAAAGGATCTGCATAGACGTTTTTCCAAAGAGGATAGAAAAATGACCAATAAGTACATGAAAAGATGCTCAACATTATTATTAGCCATCAAAGAAATGCGAATCAAAACCACAATGAGATACCACTTCATACCCACTAGGACGGCCACATCAGAAAGGCAGATAATGACAAGGAGTAGTGAGGATGTGGAGAAAATGGAATCCCCATATACTGCCTGTGGGATTGTAAATGGTGTAGCTGCTTTGGAAAACGGTTTGGCAGTTCCTCAAAAAGTTAAACATAGATTTACCAAATGACCCAGCAATTCTACTCCTGTAAATGTACTTGTGTACAAAGGAAATAATATACACACACATATATATGTATATGTGTATATATATATGTATATGTATATATATATACACATATACATATACATATATATATATATCTCCAAGAGAAATGAAAACATGTCCACATAAAAACTTGTACACAAATTTTCAGAGCAGCATCATTCAAGATAGCCAAAAAGTAGAAACAATTCAAATGTCCATCAACTGATGAATGGACACACAAAATATGGTGTATTCATACAATAGTATTTTATTTGGCAATATAAAAGAATGAAGTACTGATATGTGCTACAACATAGATGAAGCATGAAAACATTATGCTAAGTGAAAGAATTAATTTGCAAAGATCACATATTGTATTTATATAAAATGTTCATTTTGTTTTTTTTAAGTGATGAAAATGTATAATTGGTTGTGGTGATGATTGCATAATTCTGTGAACCTACTAAAGAATATTGAATTGCACACTTCAAATGGGTAAGTGGTATATTATTTGAATTACAGCTGAGTAAAGCTGTTAAAAATATTTAACCAAATCATGAACTGTGTTAAACAGTTATAATGCATGGTTAGTAAATATAACAAATATGATATAAATAACTATAATCCTCATAATTTTTTAGGTCCAGGTAAAAATTGTCTTTCCTCAGACATGCTTAAGTTCAAAGCAATGGCATGTGCTAATCATGTTACAAATCAATACTGTATACTCTTTTAAGGATACAAATTGACCCTCAAATCACTGAATCCCAGCCTAGCTTTAGTTGGTGAAAGTAATAATGTATTTAAAGATATGTGTTTATTAATTTATTGAACAGATACTTACTGCAAGCCTATCGAATCGTGTGGCATGCATCATGCTAGAATTGGGGATTCAATGGTGAATAACATATTGTTTCTGCCATAAAAAATTAATAATGCAGCACATGTGTGTATGTTGTGTGTGTATATGTATGCGTACGTGAGAATGCACGCATGTGAGACAACAGCCCATTTACTCTGCCTTTGACCAATTACAGGAATGGTCATTAGGATGTAGGGCATACCTGAGCAAACTTGGAGAGAAATTACAAGTTTATTCTGAAAGCAGGCTTATTGTTGGATATTGACTCACTTTACGTGGAACAAGAAATAGATCTTAGTAGACAGAGTTGGGGAGGGGTTTACATGAGGGCCCATTAAATAATAAGCCACAGGCAAAGAGCCCTGTCTGAATGCATAGTCAGTGGTACCATAAACACTGGGAGTTCCTTATGCTTCTCTTTAAGAGCAAGTACAACTGGGTTCCTTCTCCATCTTCTCAAACATGGAATAATACCTAACATACAGCAGTGAATAGAACCAAGACTAAAGGCCATACTTAGCTGGAAGACAAGATGAAACAGAAC